CAGTGGGTGTAAGACACAGTGCACTTACAGAAGGCCACAGAAAATAAGCAGTATATATTTGGTGATTGCTATTTCTTAAGGGTTTTTCGTTTGAGAGTAAAAATCTAGTTTTGTAATTGGGAAAGTAAACATACGTGGATGTTTTTAATTGTATGAGGTAACAGGCCTAAAAATAGAGCCGTAGTATGTCTTAAGCCGTTAGCAGAGAAGTGGTCATCTTTTCTCTTGAGTGCAGGGAATAAGTAAGCTTTCTTAATCACCCCTCTTTTCCTTATAGGGATATAACTGGTGCCATGACCGGAATGTAGTAACAATTTTCAGTGCTCCAAACTATTGCTATCGCTGTGGCAACCAAGCTGCAATCATGGAACTTGACGATACTCTAAAATACTCTTTGTAAGTATTTACATCTGTGTAATAGTTGCTATTACTTAAATATTTAGTTTTAATGAGATATTCAACTAAGCATTAAAGAGCTTGTGCTAAATCAGATTAATATTGAATATTAAAGTTTGCCATGAGATGTTGAGACACATCAAGAGAAATGATCTCATCGTACATAGACCCTAGTTTAAATTATTAGAGCCTCTAACACTTAAACCTGTGTTTTTATTGTTGTGGACTTAATAGAATACATTCTGAGGATGAAAGGACACCCGCTCTGTCTGAGGAGATGAGCTGCATCTCGTAGACCTTTAGCGAAGGTTGGGATTGGAGTATGAGGACATTGGACGGGAAGCAATATGCATGGCTTGAAAGACTACTGTGTATATATTCGTGTACAGGCAGAGTTTTTCAGCACATTTTTAAATGCAGTTTTAGTGGTAAAATTAGGTGCCTCGGCTGTAATTTGTGTCGGCTTATACTCGAGTATATACGATACGATTCTTGCTTAAGCTTGTGGCTGTATTGATGTCTTGGCCTGTGAACAACAAATAAACCCATTTTGTTTTTCAGCTTGCAGTTTGACCCGGCACCACGCAGAGGCGAGCCACATGTCACTCGTCGCACCCCAGACTACTTCCTGTAATGAATGTTAAACTTGTACAGTATTGTCATGAACCAGATATTTACCTAATGGAAATGGGAAGAGCAACAGTAACTCCAAAGTGTCAGAGAATAGTTAACATTCAAAAAACTTGTTTTCACACGGACCAAAAGATGTGCCATATCAAAATACAAAGCCTCTTGTCATCAACAGCCGTGACCACTTTAGAATGAACCAGTTCATTGCATGCTGAAACGACATTGTTGGTCAAGAAACCAGTTTCTGGCATAGCGCTATTTGTAGTTACTTTTGCTTTCTCTGAGAGACTGCAGATATTAAGATGTAAACATTAACACCTCATGAATACAGTTTAACTTCCATTTAGCTAGAGCTTTACTCAGCATGACTGTAGATAAGGATAGCAGCAAACAATCATTGGAGCTTAATGAACATTTTTAAAATAAGTACCAAGGCCTCCCCTCTACTTGTGAGTTTTGGAACCGTTTTGTTTCTTTTCAGGGATACCGTTTAATTTAATTGTATGATTTGTCTGCACTCACTTTATTTCCTTCTCAATCTCGGCCCCATGTTGTTCTTTGTTATTGTCAGAACCTGGTGAGTTGTTTTGGACAGAACTGTTTTCCCTTCCTGTAAGACGATGTTACTGCACAAGAGCACTGCAGTGTTTTTCATAATAAACTTGTGAACTCAGAACTGAAAAGGTCAAATTTCAGTTGTATCAATGGGCAAAACTGGTGCTGTTTATGAAAAAGATAGAATCATTTGTAGGTTGTAGCGTTCTAGGTGTAATGAAAAATAAAAATCAAGGCCACTGCGTGACTTTTCTGATAGCTCCTTGCCAGTTAGTTCTTCAGATTCGTTCAGGACTTTTTCTGTAGTCCAGATGGTACTGTCCAGTGTGCTAGTGTGCCCTTCGTGGATGCCAATGAATACTGTCTGCAAGAAAGGAAATCTGCGGCTACTCCAGTCGGACCTGACTGTCAAACCACGGAACACGCGATTTCAGGGGGTTTTGTTAATAAAAGAACAGCATGTGTTGGGTAGTGTTTAACAAACCAAATGATACAGTGTGTCTACTTATCAGTCGCTGCAGCTTCTGGTTATAAATATTATATTGCTTTATATGTTGAACGGACTCTTGAAAATGCTTGACAGATGGGTAAGTTCCTAACAGATGTTTGTACATAACTTGCCATGTGCACTTAAATTTTTTCCAAATAAGAAAGCTGTTAAAACACTGGCTGGCCTATATTAAACACTATAAATTATATTAGTGAAACCAAATAGAAAATTATTGCTGAAACATGGTTTGGTTTGATGTATATTCACCCAAAGACGACACCTCGCTCTCCAAAAAGGGCACTTGAAGTGATTGGTAATTAATGAGTCGCTAGTGACCACAAAAACCCAAATCACCCCCTCCCTTTCCCTTTTGTTCCTAAAATAGAATTGGGGTTAAAACAACTTTTGTGGAAAGGAAATTTAGTATTTAATCATCTTGTGCTACCAGGGCAAACTTCAAGACACCTATCACTATTTGCGGGTGGAGGGAGGGTTGTGCAGAAATAAAGTTTCCTTGCTTTGTGCTGTGTTGCCTTTGGAACTGACAAGGAAGGTCAGAGGAGGTGGTGTCTGCCCTTTTAGAACTGATGTAGGGGTGGGGTTTCACACTATTGACTGTCCAGAGCACTCAGTGGTTGTGTTTTCTGCAAGCCTCCATTTCATTTTGTTATTTTCTGCTTTCACAAGAAAGACTTTATTTTTGCGTTGACACGTTCATGTCCTTCTTGATGAGTGGTGGTTTTACACCAAAACCTAGGTGAGTGAGACCCTAAGCTTTTCTCAAGTCCTGAGCATGTTACTGACTTACAGTGCCATCATCCAGGTACACTTCCTTGGGGTTAACAAAGCTTGTGAAAAGAGAGTGCTTTAATTTTTTAATTTTTTTTTTTTTGAGAGTGCTTTAATTTTAGAATACGTTCCAGGGTCTAAATTCTAACTGGAGAATAACTAGATAGTTTTAATACTCTCCCTGCTTATGAAATGGGAGTAAGAAAAAAGTACTGGTGCGCGTAGTGGTCTTCTGTAAAAATAATTATGGTTAAGTGGGGTTCTCTGAAAGATCGTGTTTGTTTTTCAGAAACTCGCTCAAAAACAACTGTCATTGAGCTGATGCTGACATGTAGTGGAGCGCTGGTAGTAGCATGGTTGGTACCAGTTGGCTGCAGGTTTCGCCATTGGAAACCACCAGCTGCTCCGTGGGAGGAAGATGGGGCTTTCTACTCCCACAAGTTACAGGGGAAATCCATTGAGCAGTTCTAGAACCCTGTCCTATAGGGTCACCATGAGTTTTCAGAAACCAAGTTTTCATATGGGGGGAAAAAAAACTTTAAAAGCTTGTTCTAAGGACAAAGGCTTTGTTAACTGAGTGAGCCGAGTATTCTGAGTTTTCAGAAGTCTGCAGCTTTGCAAGGGTAGCTGAACGGTAAATGATGTGCTCATCTCTTGACTCTTAAGCAAACATGGCTTTGTTTCTTTGGCTCTGTGGTGAGCATTGGTGGGTTAAAGCAGATGTGTTTCAAATGGAAGTGTAGGATGTTAGTGTTACATTACTTTTTGAAAAGGCTTCTATTTAGTTTAATAGTGGAAAATAGTATGTTTGTGGTTATCAGCCTTGCTGTCCACAGAGATATTTAAAATGTTTGGCAAAGGTTCCAGGCACAGGCATTTAAACAATCTCCAAGTGGTTCTAATTTACCATCTTAGGAGAAGTCCCTGTTACCTACAACTCTAAGAAAATTGTTTGGGATACTTACCTGTCAGGAGAGATACCATGATCACCAAGGTGGTTTTCCCAGGGCGAGGCTTATCCATTGCACTCCGGTTGTGCTGACCCCTGCGATTTCCCCAAATATGGGAAACTCGACTGCATAATTTGTGGTAGTGGGAGACTGAATACGAGCTCTCCCCTGATAAAAAGAAAGAAAACTGGTGATTGGTTGGTTGTGAGTTTCAGCAAATAACTAAAATGTACCCAGTGACCCTTAAGCTTTGTTTCAGTAGTAGCTTTTACTTGCCTGTGTAATGTGTTACTAGAAATGGGCATGCGTTTAGTTTGAAGGTAGGCTTGGTTTCCAGGGAGCTAGAGTTCATTGGTTTTTAACCTTAACACATGGGCTTTGCATATTTCTTTTTAATGGGGCATTCTCCCCCCTTTACACTTGTACACATTTTAGTGAATAATGTTGAGAATGTAGAAATATTACTTTGTATGCCTGGTACCATATTTGTTTCCATTGTAGTTGGAGACACAACTGTAATCTTTGGGTACATTTGACTTTTATTATGTTAATTGCACTCATAAGTACTGTTGTCTAGATAACAGTGGAATGCTGCAGAAAAGGGCGTTGTGGGATTACAGAAGTGTAGATCATTATAACTTCCTTAAAAGACTGCATCAAATCCTCTTAGGTGAAGTTGAATTGTAAATACTTTGAGACCACAGTGGACTGGGAGAAGTATTTAAATACTTGGGGAAGTCTTTTTCTTTCTGTCTATAAAATACTGTTCTATTGTCAACTGCCTTTGGGTTAATTCTGTCTCATGGTGACTGTGCGGAGTAGAGCTGCTCAGTAGGGTGATTAAGGCCGTGACCTCTTGGAAACATCACCAACCTGTCCTTCAGGCTCCTCCCTGGGTTTGGACTGCTCACCTTTTGGCTAGTAGTCAAGTGCTAACCATTTGTACCACCCAGCAACCTCCTAAAGTACTAACGTACTCAAGCCAAACACCACCACTGCCTGTGAATCAATGTGCTTAGTGCTGCAGGATCTCCAACCAGTCTTCCTCCACCATCCGCGCACAGCTTTGTGGCTGGGAAGATCCATTTCGATCTTGATGGACTTTACCAGGTGCGCTCTTGCAAGAGCTGCTTTGGGAGACTGCAGGTAGGGTAGGCTGTAGCCAGCAGTCCAGTGCCCTATAGTAGAAGCCAGAGTAGGGTGGGAGGAGAGAGGGTGCCTGTGAGTTGCGATTGACTTGATTGTGCAAGAAAAGGCTAAAAGCCGCCATTCTTTGGAAGCTGTACAAGCAGCAAGTGAAAGTGATTGTGATGTGTAGCGAGTGAGTCAATCCTTTCCAGATGAGGGCAGAAAACATGAAAAGGCAAGGGTACGTTGTCATTTGTATAAAGCATCTAATTGAACTCTCAAGAGTGACCATGTACTAAACATTGAGTCCTTGAAATAGCAGAGGTAATGAGTCCAGTGTGCAGAACACCCTCCATCTCTTCAACCCAGTTTAGAGGATGGGAGAGAACATTCTGTTTGAGCAAGCGATCTAACCCCGAAGTCCTGGACACACAGTATTGGTGTTCTCTTGTGTTCGCTGCAATGCACCTTTACATGTTGACAAAAGTCAGGGTTTAGAGAAAATGGCCATGTATGTGCCCGACCCCGCCTTTAGAACAGCGGTTCTCAACCCGGGGGTTGAACAACCCTTTCATAGGGGTCACCCAATTCATAACAGTCGCAAAATGTCAGGAAGTAGCAATGAAAATAATGTTGTGGTTGGGGGTCACCGCAACGTGAGGAACTACTAAAGGGATGCTGCATTGAGAACCACTGCTTTAGAGAGTCAGCTGGGTGGCCTGGGCCTTCTGGGAAGCAGGGTGAGGGCTGAGGCTCACCAGCTGGCTGCGTGCCAGCCTAAGGTCAAGAGCCCCGGAGCTCCGGGCAGGGCTTGTGTGTGAGCCAGATTATGAACAGGAATCAGCTGACTGATTACCTCCAACTCTGCTGCTGCTGCTGCTGTGGCAGCCTGAACACACGGAGGCGAACGGTGCTTTCTTCACGCACTTGGATTGACAAGGACGCCTGGGTGTGAGAAGAAAAACACGTTTCTTTTAAGAAAGTGAATGTGGACTAAGGGACTATTCCTAACTTAAAAATTGGTAATTGATAAAATGCCCAGTCGATTGTGAGTGTTCTTGGAGCCGCGGAATATCCTTGATACCTTGACGGTCTTTAACTCCTCCTGTATGGGACTGTCAGAAGAAGGTAGTCAGACACGAACTGGAGCATGGAGGAAACTTGCTAGTCCCTTGTCACCTGACCATTTGCCCTCTTGAACCTTAACCTTGTCTTGAGATGTCTGGAGGGAGTCGGAAATCAAGATGTGTCCGGTGTCCTGGTGCCCAGACACGAGTCCCACAGGAGACTTGACCCCACAAACACTACCCGCCTCCATCTGGGTGCTTAGTCGTTCTGAAATTGGTCGTCTGTTTAAATGAAGTCAAATAAGTGTATACAAAACACGTCAACCCTCCGACTACTGTGAGGTTATTAGTAATGGTGTGTGGGGACCTGCGTGTCCAATGCCAGAAGCATGGCTGTTGGTAGGGTGGGCATGCTGTGTACTCAAGGACGGATAAATCGCCTCCTGGGAACAACGTAGCAGGATGACGTGTGTGCTAGCTGAGTGTGTACTGTCACACTTGTAAGACATGGTAGCAGAAACAACATTGCATTTTTCAATTCTACTACTGGATTGAGCCAGACCAGTATGAGTGTTTTGGGTCATGCAGAACTGAGTTGCTGGGAATACTCTTAGTCTCTGAGTTACTTGTGAAGCCGTCTGCCCTGCATTGACCACGGTTCAGCACTTACCGACTACAGGGTGACTTAAATCTTCCCAGTTTGCCTACAGAGCTCGAAGCTTCCCCAGGAAGCAGGGTTTCTGTGCTCACACACCAGGATGGCCCCCTGCTCAGCGGGGGAATTGGGTTTGTCATCACATGTAGGTCTGATACTGTCCTAAAATCGCACTCCTT